TCTTTATATATATTTTTTTAATTTTGTTTAAATCGATTTTAGTTTTTGATTTTTTAAAAATCTTAAACAAAGTCGGATTCCAAAAAAAAAAAAATAGGATTGTAGTTTTTTTTAGCCCTACACGCCCAATTTTTTTTTTTTTCATGCATTAGAAAAAAAAATAAAAATCTTGCACCGAAGTCGGCTGGTCGGCCTAGGCAGAACCCGGCCGATTCGGCCATCGGCCTAGGCCGCGGCCGACTTGGACCCCCCGGCCGCGGCCGGGCGTGCAACATAGTTCAGGAGTGATGAGCAATGCCCCCCAGGGCCCCCCAACCCCTATATATATTAAGAAATAAAATAAAAATAAATAAAAATAAATAAAAATAAAAATGTTCGGGGTCGGTACCGAGCGTTCGGGTTTGGTCACCGAGCCCGAACACGATGCTACGCAGTTTATACAATTAATAATTATTCATTTTGTTATTTATATAAATTTTCATGTAATTTTGATGTAATCTTGATGTAATTTTGGTATGATTTTGATATAATTTTGATATAATTTTGATATAATTTCTGAGTACGGATCCGGGCCGCCCGGCCGACCGGCGCCTGCCCGGGGGAGGTCCCGGGCGGGCGGCCCGGTTGGGGGCCGGGCCCCCCCAACACACTCACCTGTAGGGGGGTTTCAGACCCCGAATGGACTGGTTTCTGTGTTGCCAGGGCCTACCGGGTCCGACCACGCCCAGAAAACGGCGCGTCGAAACAGGACGCCCCGTTTGAACAAGCGAGTGGCTTGGGCAATCTGCACTGGGTTTCCAAACGGGGCCCCTGCTCCAGCCGCCGCGTTTCGACCACACGGAGTCCGTCGTCCAAGCAGCTGCCCGTGGTTGCCATCACCCAGGACAGCCGTCGCCGGGCGACACGGAGTCCGTCGTCCAAGCAGCTGCCCGTGGTTGCCATCACCCAGGACAGCCGTCGCCCGTCGCCCGTCGCCCGTCGTCGAAGCTGCTGCCTGGCGTCGCCATCGGCTGGGACTGCCGTCGCCCGTCGTCGAAGCTGCTGCCTGCACTGCCGCCCGTCATCGAGGACTGCCGGTCTCTTCTTCTTCTTCTTCTTCTTCTTCTTCTTCTTCTTCTTCTTCTTCTTCTTCTTCTTCCCTCCTCCTCCTCCTCCTCTTATTCTTCTGCTTCTTCTTCTCTCCTCCTCGTCCTCCCCCTCTCATTTTCTTCTTCTTCTTCTTCTTCATCTCTCGTCGTCCTCCTCCCCCTCATCTTCTTCTTCTTATTGTTCTCTCCTCCTCCTCCTCTCTATCTTCTTT